AAAAGGTCAACAATTCAGTAAATTATAGGAATTCATAGGTTACCCACATTTACAATCTCTGTCATATCCAGAAGGTTTGTTTTATTGAGCTGATGATATTGTAACTCTCTATTTCATTGTCTAGGCCTTAGCATCTATTGTTCCCCTCCGTTTATGATCCAAAATATTTAGATCTCACATTTCCATAATATGATGGGACAGGAACATTCACATTTATTGCGTCTTTATCCTAAGTCCATTCTCTCCGTATAATCAGAACGGCACAGTATTTTATAACGCTCCCTTATCAGCTTCGGGGTTTAGTTACTTACTTTAAAATGGACTAATTTCTTATTCTAGCGGAGGGGGGAACGGCCGCTGACTTAAACAGCTGCTTCATGACCCAAAAAACTGTCAGTCTTTCCCTGGAATAAATTGTGGACTGTTCCATTTCCGACGAAGGGGGGGCGACTATGTGGAGAAAGACATGCGGACGGAATATCGGCGTTAATTACGTCAGGATTTGTTTTGTGAAACAACATACGCATGAGACACATTCTTAAATACATATCCGATCGATTAGAGTGAGTGTAAGGGTGATGTTTGAACGATTAAAAGTGTATATTTGTGTGCGTATACCTCGGTGTTTTGTCGCTCCGATTCGGGTAGGCTCATAGTAGAATCAATTCACAGAGAGGGGAGCTTGAAACCGTCCTCTCGTGCCCGCGCGCAGAGTTTGGTGAGCGGCGTGTTGTTGGGTATCTCAGAGATGAACTCTGGGTGTAAAATGTACGCGAAGCTTTCCATCTCCTCACTCCATCTCCCGGAGACATACTCATTTATGTTTAAATATTTCAAACATGAACGCACGTTTCAGAATGCGCAACAGGCGTTGCGCGCGCATTCGTTTTGTTGCGGAAATTAAAACATTCTTCGCGTTCTTCAAGTTACATCTTAAAGTTTCTTAAAGTCAGCCTGCTGGCAGGGCTTTAAAACGTGTATTTGTCTTTACCGCACGGGTGTCAGGAGTTTGAATCCAAGCATTACGGTTCTTTTTCCTCCTGAGGTCCACTGTTGGCCTGATACACTTTGTTAATTTGATTGACAGGCGTCAAGTATTATTCATGCAACTCCTTTGTGACGTCAGGCGCCGTTATACTCATGAATTATGTATATTATGCATATTTATGAAATGCAAAGGATGATATTTGATGTGTAGTTTGTTTTTATTATTATTATTGTAAAATATCCAGATCCGTGCACTCATGAATGTAAACATAATGTTTCATATTCCAATTAAAAGTCATTATATATATATATATATATACACAGTATATATGAAAGTGACATGTGGCCAAGTATGATGTCCCATGCTCAGAATTTGTGCTCTGCATTTAAACCATCCAAGTGCACACACACAGCAGTGAGTAGTGAACACACACACACACACACACACACTGTGAACACACACCCAGAGCAGTGAGCAGCCATTTTTGCTGCAGCACCCGGGGAGCAGTTGGGGGTTCAGTGCCTTGCTCAAGGGTCTCACCTCATTCTTGGTATCGAAGGTGGTAGAGAGCACTGCACATTCACTCCCCCCACCTACAATCTCTGCCGGTACCGAGACTCATATATATATGAATTTCCCTGCTGTCAGCAAATGGTAGTTAAAAGATGAAAGAAATGAGAGCATTTGTCAAGCATGAGAGAATAGTGTCAACTGTCAACATCTGCTATAATTTAAATGACCACTAAAAAAACACTAATCGGAATTTCTGTGAGCTCAGTGATAAAGCAGTGTAGAAATGCTTGTACCAGGGCTGTAGTTAGGAGGTTTTCAACTTTAGATTAAAGGGTCATTTATGAATTATCTTTATAAATTCATAAATATTGTAATCTATGTGCAGGAAAGATTTAAGAAAAGTATAAATTTACTAATCCACTCCTACAGGCCCATTGAGTGGTCTGGCTGTTATCTAAATCAAACCGAATAAAGGTTTTTACCAGTAAAGATAAAAAAACAAAAATCCTGCTATGAGTGAAAGAGAAAGTGGACATGAATTACATGAATCTACTTTAATTTAATTAATTTTGTCATAAATTACTCACCCTCATGTCGTTCCAAACCCGTAAGATATTTGTTCATCTTTGGAACACAAATTAAGATATTATTGATGAAATCCGAGAGATTTCTGGCCCTGCATAGACAGCAAGTGTTCTACCAAATTCAAGTGCCAGATAGGTAGTAAGGACATCGTTAAAATAGTCCATGTGACACCAGTGGTTCAACCGTATTTTTATGAAGTTATGTATAACTTTGTTGTGAATCAATTTATGTTTAATTTATATGATGAATCTATCCAGTGCTTTATGTTTACATTTGATTACTTTAATCAATTTCTGTATAGTAGGCTATTATAGGCCCAAAGCAAAACTTTGCCCCCCCAGCCAAGTTTTGCTTAGGGTTCCCAGAAGTCTAGGATCGGCTCTGAGTGGCACCGTCTCAATCTCTGTCCGGCGCGGGTAAAATAATTATAATGCTAAAGGTAAGGTGCAATTCTTTTTTCTTTATTAAATAACTTACAAAGTAATTTGAAAACTTTCTGTGAGACGTAATTTCACAAACAGCGTGAGTGAATCACCATGCGTGCTCTCTTTCCCTCTCAAAGTGTGCAAATGGCTTCAAATCACCACATTCACTGCACTATATAAGCGAGCTGCACAGTTGACACAGGAATTGTCACTTGCACAATCGAGGCAGTGTCGCGTCATTACTAAAGTTTATAATTTGATTTATTTTTAAGTCTTGCCAGTGTTTAAACCATTCAGCACTCACGCGCTCTCCTAAAATGTTTTTTTTTGTTGTCTTTTTATCCTCATTCCAAATGATCAGAAAAGAGGAAACCAACAATAAAACAGGAGAAAGTACTAAATTATTACTAAATTAAATTACTATACTATATAGTAGTAAAACGCATGTGAACAGTAGCCTACTTTTTGATCAGTTCATCAGTAATATTCAGGAAATAGTAGATATTGAATTGATGTTTGAACTTATTTACATGTTTTTTTTTTGTCTTTTTATCCTCATTCCTAATGATCCGAAAAGAGGAAACAAACAATAAAATAGGAGAAAGTACTAAATTAATACTATATTACAATACTATATAGTAGTAAAACACATGTGAACAGTAGCCTACTTTTTGATCAGTTCATCAGTAATATTCAGGAAAAAATATATATGGAGTGGATGTTTGAACTTATTTGCAGCACTGGTCAAATCTTTCTCTCCTAGATAACCAACAGGCTCATCAAAGCGTTTGATCCAGTCCTGATACACTTCTTAATTTCTCAAAAAAACCCAGCCACCACTGACATCGCTATTTCCAGCCCTATTTAGAGCCAGATCACCCCTGCTGCCGCTACCACGTCTCCAGGCTCTCCCACGCACAGCACGGCCACGTCTACCGCGGCCACGCCCACCTCTTTGGGGCGCTGGATCCAAAGAGCTAGTGTTACTTCCAGCCCTATTTCTCCTACCCCTGCTGCCTCTACCTCTAGCAACAGCTCTCCTATGGACACTACGACCACGTTCACCCCTGCCACCCCCATCCCCGTTGGGCAAAGGGTCAAAATTATCACTTGTTTGTGCTTCGTGAGATAGATAGATAGATAGATAGATAGATATACACCTGAAGTTAAACTAAATGAAAATGAGAACTGTCGTCTTGGCAACTAACTGAAATAAATTAAGTTTAAGGTTTTTTTTATATTTAATTTAATTTAAAGTAGTTTTTTAAAGTATTTTCTTTTATGGCTTTATTTACATTTAAAGGGGTGGTTCACTGGGTTTTTTCTAGGATTGATTGTGTTTATTGGGTGCAGTCTAACATGTGTTAATGCTTCGTTTTTTTAAAAGAGGAACAGTATTAAGAACTGCTGCTTTAGAACATTGATTTTGAAACTTGTGAATCCATTAAAATCGTTAAGAAGACAAAATTATTCATATAAGAATAGATTTTTACGTGCACTTCTAGTTTTCTCTTCCTCTTTTCTCTAAAGCAGCGCAGCATGGCCTCGCCCCCTTTGCTGCCTTTTCCCGAGGGCGGGGTTTATCTGGGTTTGTGATGTCACGAACCCGGGAAGTAACTCGTTGTAGTCCCTACCAGCCGTTTTTGTAGGCATTAAGCTGACAGAATTTTAAAAGACAATATCTCCGTTTGCATTGAACTTTCAGCTTCGTAACTTTGCAGATATTGTTTATGTTCAAACAGCAACATTGCACACTAACTAACGTTAAAAAAGTGAAATCGCAATGAACCACCCCTTTAATAAACCTGGTTAAAAAAACAAAAAAAACATGACCATCAACATCATCAGCTATTGAAGTGGTATCATCATCTCCATACTCAGTTTATTTTCTATGGAAAATGGGATTTTAAATGCTAAGTATACTTCAGTTTTCACATGTATATTTAGCGTATGTGTACAGACTAACTGTGCTATTTCTTTCCAGACGTTATGATGATCAAGTAAATTGCTTTATTTGTACATTGGAAATTGTTCACTGTGTATTAACAGGAACATTTTAGCCGAGGGGTGGTATGTTGTGCTCTCAGAAGTCAGTGATGCGTTATAAAGTTGGCTTGGAACTGAAAATGAATACTTGATATACTGGTCTTGTTTACCTGTCGTCCCTCAAGATTCAATATTAAACTGATTTAGTGAGGGAGAGTGAGCGAAAGAGATGATGTAAATCTCAGCTTTTAGACATACAACTTCTGGAACCAATTTAACATTATTTTTCCTTTATAGGTCATGTGTTGAACAGGAACTCATTGTCAAAATGCCAGCAAATCAGAACAGCACAGCAAATTTGCCAGCTTAAAGACCTATAACAATGCTGGAAAAGTTATGGCTAATACTGTGGCTAGTTTATGCATACTGCGCTGCATATTATAACAAAAAAAAACAACAATTATCATTATTGTATGAATTTCACTACAAAAAGATTACATTACCTATTCCGCTATTACGATTATTCTCCATCTCTTCCATTTTTAGCTCCATCTCTAGCTCTGGGTCTTCTGCCATTTGATCCTCTGAACTTGGACCTGGTTCTTGTTCTGGCACAGTCTGAGGAGCTGCTTCTTCCTTGTGTTCATGTTCAGGTTCAGGTTCAGGTTCCGGTGTATATGTGGTGTATGCAGCTATCACATGAACCTGATGTGTTACAGGTTCTTCAGCTAGACTACTGCTGCTGGATCCTGCAGCTACATCACTGCTGGAGCTACTACAGATGGATCTGGCCGGTTCTGAATCCTCAATACTATGACTCAGATCAGAATCATCGGCTGGAGTTGAGGCTCTGGGAGCTGGCACCGGGACGCAGGGGGCCCGCACAGATACAGTAGGCACAGAAGTGGAAATAGCTGGTTTGGGTGACGGTGTGGGTGGAGGTGCTGGAGCCTTCCGCTTCTTAAGCTGGTTGTGTGAGGATGGAGAGCTGAGGTTTATCTATAGAGGAAGACAGAGGACAAACATAAATGTTTGAATATTCAGGAATTCTGGGTGGTTCAGGATGTTGCTATGCAGTTACTAAGTACTAAGTGTTTTTTTTACTGCTATGTGGTTACTAGAATGTAAGCACTCTATGTCTATGTTTACACCTGGCATTAACATGTAATTAAAGCATATCAGACTAGGTCACATTACAAGCCAGGTATAAACGCACACTAGGGCACACTGTGATCAGTTCACTGAAAATACATTTTTGGTGGTCTGGGATGGATTATACATTGCCGTTCATAAGTTTGGAGCCAATACGTTTTTTTTTTTAATTATAATTATTATTTTTAATGAGCACAACTGTTTTCATCGATAATGAGAAATGTTTCTTGAGCACCATATCAGCATATTTAAATTATTGATGAAGGATCATGTGACACTGAAGATTCAGCTGATAATTCATTAAATATTCCTTATAATTTTTAAATACATTAAAATAGAAAACAGTCATTTCAAATTGTAAAACTAATATTATAATAACATTATTAACTGTCATGAACTTCATGGAGACACAAAGGTTGAGGATCCAAACACAGTATTTAATGAAGGGGTAATCCACAAACGTAATCCAAAAACAGGCAAAGGTCATGCACAATAAAGAATCCAGGCAATTACAAAGTTCGGGGCTGAGGCAAACAGAGTAATCCAGAGATCAGGCAGAATAACAAGACCAGGAACCAAGACATGGGAGAAACAGTATACTAGGCTTAGAAATGCAGTACAGACACTAGCAAGACTTAGCAATGAGTGACTGAATTAACCAGGCTTTTATAGGGTGAGCTAACAGGGTTAATGAGACACAGACGGAAACTATAGCTGTGTCCCAATTCAAAGACCGCATCCTTCGGAGGAGCCTTCAAATGCAGCCTTCGGAGGATGCATCGTGAATTGGGACGGTCCTCGTCGCGCCGCCGTGACGCAATCGGCCTTCAAATACAGCCTTCGGAGGACGCGGTGTTTGAATTGGGACAGCCTTCGTCGCGCTGCCGTGACGTAATCGGCCTTCAAATGGGTCCTTCGAAGGATGTAGCCTATGAATTGGGACACAGCTAATGAGTGCTGATGAGATCGGGCAGAGGATTATGGGGAATTAAGTCCTTGATAGAGTGGCAACGGAATGGGACGGAGTGCCCTCTGGTGGCTATCTAGGGCACTCCAGCTGGTGATCATGACATAGCCCCCCTCCTAAGGAGCGGCTTCCAGGCATTCCTAATATGGTCAGAGAAGTCCAGGATGGAGGTGGAGGCGGACAAGGGGGAGGAATGCAGGGCCAGGTCCATGGACTGGAAGAAGAACTGGAGATGAGGGAAAAGCAGGAAACCAAGGCAGTGCAGGTTGGACAGGTGGCCAGGGTGGTGCAGGCTCAGCAGGAGGCCAGGGTGGCACTGGAGGCCCGGGCGGAGCTGGCAGAGCTGAAGACCACCAGGGTGGAGCTAAAGACCACAAGGGCGGAGCGGGCAGAGCTAGAAGCCAAGGCGGGGCCGAAGACAACCAGGATGGAGCAGAAGATTACCAGGGTGGAGCAGGCGAAGCTGAGGACCACCACAGCAGAGCAGACGGGACCTCCCCAAAGTGGAGTAGATGACCACCACAGCAGAGCAGACGGGACCGAGATCCCCATAGTGGAGCAGAAGACCAACAGGGTGGAGCTGAGGACCACTTCAGTGGAGCTAATAGTGTAGGGGACCACCAAGATGGATCAGGCTGACCAGATGTCCACCAAAGTGAAGCAGAAGAGGCAGGAGACCACCAAGGCGGATCAAGTGGGACTGCAATAGAGAGCACAGAGAGGTTAACAACGGCCTCTGCAGCCATAACAGGACAGGCAGACAGTTCAGAGACGGCATCTTTGGCCATGACAGAGCAAGCAGAGAGTTCAGAGACGGCCTCCTTGGCCATGATAGGACAGGTGAAGAGCTCAGAGACGACCTCCTTGGCCATGAAAGGACAGATAATGAGCTCAGAGATGGCCTTCTTAGCCATGGTAGGGCAGACTTCAAAGATGGCCTCTTTGGCCGTGACAGGGCAAGCAGAGAGTTCACAGGTGATGACTGTGGTCAAGAAAAGACAAGAAAAGCTCACAGACCTTTGGAACACCTAGGTGTATTAAAATGCAATTTTCACAATTGTGTCGGAACACTGGAGTGGCATCTATAACGGCTGAAGAATGTGGTGTGACATCCAAGATGGCTGGAGGCTCTGGCATGGAGGCCATGATGGCTGGAGATTCGGGCGTAGCGGCCATAACGGGTCAAGGCTCTGGAGTGGCAGCCATGATGGGATGGGACTCAGGTGTGGCAGCCATGTTGTGATGAGACTCTGGAGTAGCAGCCATGTAATGAACAGGCTCTGGTGCAGCAGCAATGTTGTGAGCTGGCTCTGGTGTGGGAACCACAGGACAGGAAATGCAGGTGACTGTGGTGTGCCAAGCTTGGTGTATTGTGCCCTCCCCACCCTCCCTCATTTTTGGGTGAACTATCCCTTTAAGAATCAAATAGCTGCAAACAGTGCAGTTTATTTAATTAAAGACAGTCTATTAATGTGCGTTTGGCTTTAGACTTCTGAAGGTCTTCTCAAAAATGTAAACTATATATATACAGTAATACGAATTTAATTTGATATAGTACAGAGTTAATACACATTTCTACCAATAAATGTAAATTACTTTTCCATGACTTAAAAATATTGGAAACTTTAATGTTATTATTTATTAATATTAATTGAATAATTATGCATATATATATATATATATATATATATGTGTGTGTGTGTGTGTGTGTGTGTGAGACAAAATGAGTCACAATGAGCAAATTTACAAAAATGGGTTATTGTTATTTTCACATTTTCTATTAAAAAAACTTCAAAATGAGGTATGATTTGTTGGAATCTGACAAAAAAATGACTGTGCTACACCTGTTTGAAGTCAACAGAGTCAGCAAAGCCAATTTTGAGAAAAATATAGTTAAAGTTTCAAAAACAAAATCACCTAGCAATCAATACCTCAAAATCTCTGGTAATACCACCAAATTCAGTACACCAAGTCAAAGCCCATATCTAAAGGAAAAATGTATGTTTGTCTTGGGTTACTTGATTATAATCCTATTCCCTGAAAAAAATGGGAACGAGATGCTGGGTTTCATTATGCTTATGGGAACCGTTGTGAAGCATGTGTGTCAATGATGGAAAGAATTGGCTTAAATAACCACAGTTGGTGATGTCATGGAATGTGTGCACCCGAGAGGTTATAAAAAGATGTGAAACACCTTCAGGTTATACCTTTGTCTGAAGAGACGTCCAGGCATGCCCACAGTGCAGCAATGAGGTGCAGCATCATTCCTGCTTTTTCAGGATACAAGGTTACAGTCAAGTAACCCGAAACTTTCCCTATCAAAAGCTACACTCGATGCTGCGTTTCATTATGCTTATGGGAACAACAATACCAACGCCGCTGCACTGGAAGTGTCTGGATCCGTCAAGGTTGTGTAGTGTGTGCGTATAAACATTGAAGAGGTCTCAGACATGAGTTTGGGATGTTGACTCAAGGACATGTGAGTCTGAAGTAGCATGGACATCCAAACTATAGAATTTGATGAACGTGTGCGGGGAGGACCAGTCTGCCGCATCACAAACTTGGAGGATGCAACCTTCCTGGTTGAATGGGCCCTAACTCCTTGAGGCAAAGTTTGACTGTGCACCTCGTAGGCTGGGGCAATAGCATTCCTCACCCAATGTCCGGTGTCGTGAACGGCGGAGGGCAGAAGGCTTCAAGAATGACCAGATATATGGTCGAGAATGGAACTTTAGGAAGATAATTAGGCTGAGGATGCAAAATAACTTTGACCGGCCCAGGGTCCCACGAAAGGACTGTCGCTCTGGTGGGCGGCCTCATCCGCTTAGCTCCACGAATGAAGCCAGCATCTCTCAAGTTGGTCCCTTTCAGGGGCCAGACATGAAGGTTCCAGAGCTCGGCCGGGTATGAAACACTGTGCCTTGCGCCTGAGATAGACCTCTAGACTGGACTATTGTAATGCACTGCTAGCAGGTTGTCCTGCATCCTCAATAAACAAGCTACAGGTTGTCCAAAATATAAGCTACTACTAAATATTGTAGAAACTTAATTTTCTGTAAAGTTTGATTTGCAACGATTTGTATTGTAAAAAAAGCTATACAAATAAACTTGAATTGAATTGAGATAGGAGATCTCTCCTGACTGGAATCGCCCACAGCGAGCGATCGAGGAGGTATATTAGATCTGAGAACCACTCTGGTCGCCAACAAGGCGCTATCAGCACGAGGCAAGACCCTTGTTAACAGACCTTGGCCAGGACTCCTGGGAGCAGAGTGATTGGGGGAAATGCATAAAGACGCCGTCTGGGCCACATATGGGCCAATGCGTTCAGACCTATGGGAGGTGGAGGAGTCAGAGAGAAGTAGAGGGGACATTGCGCTGCCTCCTGTGAAGCAAAGAAGTCCACCTCTGCTTCATACATTTTTCCCAAATTTGACTGACTACTTTGGGGTGCAGTTTCCATTCCCCGTGTGTCACAGCTTGTCTGGACAGCAAGTCTGCTCCCACATTCATATGCCCCGGAATATAAATCGCCTTGAAGGACAGGAACTTGTCCTGTGCCCAAAGCAGAACCTGCCGCGCTAACCTGTTCAGGTGGCGCGAACGCAGTCTGCCTTGGTGATTTATGTAAGAGACTAACGTAGTGTTGTCAACCCGCACTACAACATGGTAGCCTCTTCAATGCTGGAGGAAGTATTTCAGGGCCCGAAATACAGCCATCATTTTGAGGCAATTGATGTGCCAGTCAAGAAGATGACCTCTCCAGAACCCTTGGGCTGGATGGCCATCTAAGACCGCTCCCCAACCCGTGAGAGAAGCGTCTGTCATTAGCATCTTAGCATCATACGCCTAGAGTAGGACCCAAAGTCAGAAACCAGGG